TCGAAGTCTGATGCATCAAGAAATATAGATCCACTCTCGTTTCGCGTACCGATCCCATATTAACAGGCGGTACGTTTGATCTCATCGATCTGTCCCATCCCGGATCCACGTTGGATCAGTTTCGCGGCGGTTTGATAACACGGCTGGCCGGGGGTGGCAATTTGCTGAATCCCGCGTTATCGAATACCGGCAGAAGGTCGCGAACTCGCTGACCTGTTCCGATCGCTGCCAGGTCGACCCACCTGACGATGAAAAAGTATTAGGAACTGGATGAAAAAAAAAGAAAAATAAAAAAAAAATATTCCGCCATCACAGGATCTACCCACTTGTTGGTTTTGTACTTGGTCAAGGGTTGAAGCGAGGGGTGCGGTGTCTCCGTAGGAAAGTACGTCGCACCGTAAAAGTCCAGTCCACGGCTGAGCAATGTTGAAGTCTCGTCAACGCTCGCCAGAGTGACCCTGATCACTGGCGGACCAGTGTAGATGGTGGCCGGTTCGTTTAAATTTTGCGCGTCGTTCTTGACTTTGTCGTTGATCGCCTTCACTGAGGGTTCACCGGTCAAATTTATCAGTCGCTCTGTTATAGAGAATAAATATAATAAAACCCAAGTACTTACACACTGTACCAGTGTTCAGTGGGAGCCTCGTCACCTCCACAATAGATCTGTACTTATAGAGAGCGTGTCTGATGTCTTCCTCCGGTAGCTCCTCTGGTACGTCCAGCACGTAGACCGTGAACGTCTTGGCTGGTCTGCAGGGTATGGCCACCTGAAAATCCCCTAGGATTTATATAGGGTATTTCGTGCTTTACCTTGTAACTGTACATTATACAAGCATTGCGGTTATACGTTATAGGGCTGTTACGCAAGATCAACGAAGGTTCATCCTGTATACCTTTTTATAGAAACGCGCCCCGGTCACCTTGTGAAATCCTTTCTTGTAAACAGCCTGAAAATCCTCGATGTTGCTGAACTTGAAAAGTATACCGGTTGCGGTTTTGGTAAGGGAGAAGGCACCCCTATGGAGGGAGAGAGAGAGAGAGTGGGGAAAAAAACATCCCTTAGACAAATTATGAAGCAGGTATTTAATTTTGTTTTCTTCTTTTTTTTTTTTTTTTTGTTCCTTACCGAAAATTCATTTTCTCACAGATCGTCGCTGCCTTCTCCATACTCAACTCGTGACTCGGCGTTAGCAGGAATGCGCCCTTCGTCAGGAAATCGTTCTCACTGATCTCCGAGTCCGTCTCGTGATCCTGCCAATCCGCCCGTCCCTCCTGATTCAATCTCAGGAGGGAGCTGCTCTTCGATGTCGACATATCCTTCTCGTGAGAGGCACTGACGTTACTCTCGTTCTGCGACATCTTTTTATAGTTGGGTTCGGCACGGAATAAACTTGGACCTCTTTATTATTACGTGGCGGATCGGGACGTTTGTCGTCGTGCTAGACTGATCGCGCTCTGGAAACTCACCGCGCCTTTTATACCTAGTACCATATACTTGGGTATGGGACGTAGGAGAGATATTGGTAGTTGGAGGAATGAAAAAGAAAAAGAAAAAACAAATCTTAATTAATCCTGACTGATCGTCAATGACTGTTACGGCGCGTAGGTAGAAGATGGTCCATTTGTCAGATCAAGCTTGGGACGGAAAGCGGTAGGAATTCGGTAAGAGGCTAAAGAACGTAATAGCTTGAATATCGTGTACGGTGAATATTATATATAGGGTGGATTTTTTTTAATTTTTTCCAAGGGACTCTCGAATTGGAAAATGTTTTTTTTTTTTTTTTTTTTTTTTTTAAAGGCATTTTTACGTTTCAGACAGTCTCGTTCAAGCGGCCGATTTAATTGGATCATTTAACGAGCGTATTGTTACTCAATGACATAATAGGATAATAACTTTTTGTTAACGTCGAAATTGACGATTGCGCACGACTCGTTGTTGCCAATCGCTCGATTTCCAGTTAAGGCGTCGTATAGGTCGCTACGAATTATTTCTTATTTATAACTGTCTTTTTTTTGTTGGTATCGCCGAGTGCAGCAGCGGCAGCTTGTAAGACTTGTTGGTAACTTTGTACGCTGCTCCCTGTTGCTAGGCGAGTTCACGAATTGTAAGGACGGCGCCGTTGCCGCACATAAACTTAGATCGATCCGTGCCAGCTATCCGAACTTGGTTGGTAGCATCGTGTAAACACGGCTTGAGCTTTTTTTTTCCTTCCCCCCCGAGGAATTTTTATATCGTAGACAACCTAGAGAGAATTCTAGCCGGCCGTGCATGCCAGCTGGCTGGCTCCGTTGCTGCGTCATAGAGACACATAAGGGATAACCTGGATACCCTGGTAGATCGTCCGAACATGGTCTAGGTCTTATTTGAATATCAAGAAAGAAAAAAAAATGTACCGTAAAAGAAAAAAAAATGTCAAAATTGTCTCAAGGCTGTTTAAGATCAAAGTATCGAGGCGTCTGAGGGCGTAGATATTATGGAGCTCACGATTGAAACTGGATAATCGCTTAACGAGCCAATTAGCAGTTTCATGGTCGATCGCGTCATCCGCTTGAGTTTCGATTTGTCCAAAGGAGAAAAATAACAGCAATTTCCGGAGTCTTCTTTTTTTCTTGTCTGACTATCGATTGCTATAGATTGACGCGGGTCTCTTCGTCTGACTATGCTCCAGCCGATTCTACTAGCTCGACTTGGTTCTTAATAGAAGGTCGAAAAGTCATTTCGAAGGGAGGATCTTTGGCTCCCGGGGGTGCATATTCCTTTCGAAGGAACGTAGGTAAAATCCTGCTGAATTCTGGATCCTTCGGGGCTTCTTCTTATTGTCGTTCTGTGTGCGTGGGGCGGGGGGGAGGTCTTGGGGTTTGATCGTTGAGACGGTGGGAGGACTCGGTGATCTGGGATGACTGTCGAGGAGTGGAAAAATAAATGTTTTCGCGCGCTGGGCAAATGAACACGTGACTAACGCTTTGAAATGGGGATGAATTGTAATTGGACGGAAATGGAATTCGGATAGTGCAGGACCAAATAGAGAGAGAGAGAGAGAGAGAGAAAGAGAGTGGGGTGCTGCAGGGGTGTAGAGTGTGAGTGGAAGAGACAAGGAGAGAATCTGTGGCTTTTCGTGGGATGGGTATCCTGTGGGATAGAGTGAGAGAGAGAGAGAGAGAGAGAGAGAGAGAGAGAGAGAGAGAGAGAGAGAGGGGGGGAGAGAGGGAGAGAGGAGAGGGTTGACGCCACTGGCCTGTAACTCTATGCCTCTCTGAGCTTCGATCAATAGAGGCGGTACACCGTCGAACAGTACGCAGCTGGCTCAAATCCTCTGTACAAATTTGGAATAATTCATGAAAATGAATCTTTCATAAATTTACTCTAATTTCTTGGAGATACCGAGACAAAAGTTATCCGATGTGTGGTACGGATTATAATGATGTATTTTTCCTTTAATCAATGCCCTTGTGAAAGTTGTATTGTCTCTAGAGGATTTCCAGCACTCTGTTTCCTATGCTGTGTGCATTCGGCGGATCTTTATGTTTGGTGCAAATTGAGGTGAAACCGAGTGCTGTTTTCTGGAGGACTGCTGGGTATCGAGCAAAGTGTAATTGAACTCATGGCGAATCCTGGTTCGCCGAGTAAATTTCATCTTCACCAGGTAAAATAGTTTGACCGATCTCGTTACCGTAGCAGGAGGAATCAGAAAGTCCTTTTCACGCGGCTATAAAGTGGCGGCGTTGTAAACTCCGAGGGGAAAGTCCTTTTTCGTTTTTTCCCTGAGATATTTGACGTTTGAAATTCTCTCAGTAAGAAATTCCCTAGACCGGATAGTAGACTGACGGTGGCAAGTGGATATAAAGGGATAGCGGTAGGAATTTTTTTGTGAAAAAAAAAAAAAAAAAAGAAAAATTCACCTTCGGAATCATGTGGAGGAGAGGGGCGCGAGGATGATAACGAATTCCTGGTGGATTTTCCAAGTGATTTCCTCGGTTATGTCCAGGGGGATTGTATGGCGACAAGGGGGAAGGCGCGGTTGCACGAAAAAGGGTGCCGCTTGCCAATTTAATATTTTACGGGTCCTAACGTCTCTCTGGTACCCTGGACCCTTTGCCCTTGGGACCGTGCGACCTCGTACCTACAACCGTAGACCTCAGTGGATGCTGGACCTCTCATAACTAGTTATGCGAAGCTTTGGGCTTGACGTCTCACTCGTAAACATTCGACCCAGTCCTTCTCTTACTATCCCTAGTGCCTTATTTTACCTTCGTTCATTCCATTCCAGATCCTCGACCCTTTCACCAGCCTCTGGTTATGACCTAGTAAACTCTCTATGGACTCTTTACAGAGTCTTCAGCCAGGATTTTTCATGACACCTACCATCTGACTAGGAACCTCCATCCTCACTGATCTTGCACTTGGTACCGATAGCAATCTCTATGCTAATCCTGGTACCAGTTTAGGGCGTGTTTCCTGTAAGGGATGAATCCAACCTTCTCACGAGCATCCCCAGCTGGAACCACGTCACTGTCTTAATCCACTATCGAATTGATCTCTAGGTATCTCTCGGGGTTACCAGTTACCAACCCTCCGCCGTGAATACAGGACAAATGAACCGGACAGCTAGTTAGAAACGTTACTCAGCAATTCCTAGACTTTGATCCGCTCCGTTGATGTTGCTTAGTTTACCCTGCGGACATTTGCCTGGTCTATCCTCCCTGTTGTCACTGGGGCGCTAGTGACGTAACGTAAAATTCCTTAGACCCATTTGACGAATTATCCCAGCTGCCAGAACCCGAAGGCTTTACTGAATAGCAACTGGTCTTTCCTCGTCTAAAAAAAAACTGGAATCATCGCGGAATTCAAAAACCAATGTCAATCGGTACCACCTCGAACAAACCGACGGTGAAATCCTATCATAAATGAATGGGAAAGAAAAATCTTTAAATCAAGATAGAAAATTGTCAAACGAAGCAAAACGAATTCTTTAAAGCAGTCTTTCAATTAGCCATTAATTCCCTTGTTATTCCACCTTCCGTCCTCTTCCTCTCTTTCAAGTCTATTCCCATGGCGCTCGGACTTCCTGTAGGCGCGTAGGCTTCTAGGTTGGTCGATTCGACTCTGCCTACCCAATGACTTCTTATTCATGAACCAAACCTTCAAAAAACCATTAGTCCAATTATCCTTGGCCCGTACAGGCTAGAGTTACGGCAGCTAATAGCACGTCGTTTCCTGGCACTCCTTTAAGTCTGCCAGCGTAACCTCGAGCACATCATCCACATCCTCGACAACGCTCCGACTTCGTCCACCTCCTCGTACTCGTTCTTCACAGTATCGGAGGACCTGGCCAGATAGTGCGCACTCGTAGAATGGTGAGCACGTAGCGTGTAACTGGTCCTCGCCCACCATATTGTCCCCGGCACTCAGACTGGTTCGAAGTGGCTCGCAAACCCGACCGGAAATGTATCGGCAACCGGCACTTCCGTTGGTCACGTCTCGACGCTCTGCCCTTCCATCTGCTTATACAACGAGACGCTGAGTTCCTCCTGAGAATAGTGTACCAATTTGTTGTCTCTTAGTTTTACTCCCCCCTACGGCTATCCTGCTCCCTCTCTTTCTGAACCTGTCATATATATGTATATTTTTATTTTAAAAATTTTCCAAAAGCCACTGAGAATTTACGCAAGATTATCAGCAGTGGGCTTGAAGCCATTTTCAACAGACTGAATTTTTTTTCATTTTGACACCCCCTATAATTTTTTTATTATCAGTCCCAAACACGGTACAGTCACCTGCACGTGTATATGTGGCCTGTACCTACATGGTGCATACCGTGTGTTTATCGAGCTAACGAGCTTATTAGGAGGCAGAGCCTGTCTCTGGCCCTAATGTATGGGATAAACGTAGCTCGACCATGAATGACTACCTCACGGTCCCCGATGCCCTGACAGTGTCACAGTCGACTCTGAGCGAATGGGATCCATCTTTGAAATAAGTGAAACAAGTAAAATCACTAAAATACCCGACTGCTGGATTAGCCGTATTACGTCACGTCCAGAGCTACCGAGCGAGCCAGGAGCTGATCTGACTCACAATAACCAGCGAGCTTATTGATATAAACGAGCCCAAAGTCTCGTGGCCTCGCGCTTAGTCGATAATACAGATTGATAATAAAACTGTCCGATAGTGGTAGCAAGGGATGGGACCCTTTTATATAATTAGTATCCACTTTGAGTTACATGCTACAATCGACAAAGATCCTCTCGCTATCGGCATTACGTTCTCTTGCTAATTCAATAGCGACTGAGCTCATAGCTGGTTATATACTTTGACAGATATACGAGTCAATCCCATGGGGTTTTAACGGAGCCAAGTTCCATGACCGGCTTTGTACTAACCTGACCTAGAGACGTGCGTTGTCTCGAAAGACATCAATACCTAGGTGGGGTCTACTGTGCATATAGATAAAGGGATGATTT